CGAGCTCCGGAGCGAAGCTCGATCACAATTATGCATATGCTTTCGTGCGAGTATAGGCCACCTTCCCTTTCCCGGAGGACTCCAAGTTTCCGTCCTTTTTTCCCTATCGTGGATTTGTGACTTGCTTTAAATTATGAAGGCACATCGCACGCGCAGCGGAGGGGCGCAGGAAGGCGGCGCAATGAAGCGGCGTTAGACTGACCTCAAGTCTTTTGGCGCGAGCTTTAAAAAACGCTTGTTGAAAGGGAGTAGCATGCAGCATGACTACATATCACCTACTCGGACGAAAGCATACGCATAATTATGATCGAGCTTCGCTCCGGAGCTCGCTTGATCATACAATAGACGGGCGTAGAGGATAGATGGTCAATTGCTGTAATTTTGTTAATATATTGTTGCGCTCACTCTCGCACTCGCACTCTCTCGCACTCAGGTAAATAAAAAAACACTCGCGTAAGAATAACAAGCTTTACTATTTACAGCGCAGCTCACTCAAGCTCTAAACAAGAATAATTCTCTATTCTCGCGTCCGTTCTCGATGACAGCTGGTCAGAGACTACTTTGTCAGCTGTTGTTGTTTTCTTCTTATCGATTTCCGTCTTATCGATTTCCGATTTTCCGTCGTCCAGACAATCTTCGTTCAGTCAAAATCAGCATCAGATGCCTAAGGCTCACGGACAACGGACGCCGCCACAAACCTTGTGGCTCGGACACAACAATATGCTAGGCGCCAGCATTGATCGGTCAATTGTAGGGATGGGCTTCGTCAAAAAAAGCATCTTCTTCGATTTAATCGATTATCAAAAAAATCGTTTCTGCATAATTGATATTTTCTTAAAAATATCGATAATAATTGATGTTTTTCTAGTTTATTTTAAATGTAAAGAGTTAGATGTTGCAACAATAAATTAATATATTATTAAAACCTTAAAGACCCTTTTACAATGGCTACAAGCATAAGCTTATATAACAATAAAGCTATAAGCGTAAGCTACAAGAAATAAACCAATTAAAGTCGGTTGTTCTTATAATAGTCGACTGTTGTTGGTTTATTTTTTACTGTTTACTGTTACAGCTTTATTTTGCAGCTATTGTAGACGGGTCTTAATAGTAGTAGACAAATTCCCTAGTGATAAAAATTTAGTAACAAATCTAGTAATATAATCGACGAAAAAAAATAATCAATCTAGGGAATGATCGGCCCCAAAAATATCGGTCTGATAATCAATTTTTCAAGAAAATAAGAATCGATGCTTGTTTCATCGGTCAATATTTGCCCATCACTAGTCAGTTGTGAGTTGGATGTACCATGAGTAGGTGTGTCTCTTCCTGATGCAGAAAAACATTGTTATTGTGAGTATGAAATAAATGTTTTTGTTTCTATTAACCTTCAAAATGTTTCACACGCCGGAAAAATACCTTGCGAATACGGTTTATTTTGAGTTACAACATTAGACCTGGGCTTAAACGACTAAAAGAACATCGTATTTGCGTATTTAACCTCAAAATTCGTCACCAAGACTACGTTTCACGCGGTATACGTGAACTCTCCAAACGAGATAGATGGTTTATTTTATCAGGGTTAGATGGGCAGCTTACCCAGCGAGAAATAGCAAACATCGGATCGTTTTCTAGATGCTTTAGACATATAAAAAACGTCGCTCCGATATCTATTCGACTATTATTTATTCCTGGGTATCTAACATTAAATGCCAAACTTCGTATGTTGTCTCGAGAGGGAATCCATGCTTCTGTATCTTCTTTATATGTTTTACTAATTTATCTTCGTTTTCTCTTTTTAATAATGTTTTCCCATAGGGTGTTTTCTGTATTGCCACTTTTCAACCTTCTCTCCAATGTTGTCCTTGGTTTCTATAAGAAACTTGTGGAAATGTTTTATTTTGTTAATAATTAATAAAAGTATATAAAAACTATACTAAAAACTAAACACTAAAAAAATAAGTAAAGGTAAACAAATTTCTACATTATTGTTATGTCCTGGAGGAGGAACGTAACTTGACGCTTGCTTTCACAAACTCCGACGTATTAGCAAGTCTGCGGTGCAGATCAAGAATCGGAATGACCGCTTTATCTGGCGTGGACGTACGTCGGTGATCCTTTATTTAGGTCAAGGAATTGAATTCTTTTATCCTGGGATAGGACCGTGAGCGACAGTTGAGGGAAGGGAGAATTTTTGTTTTGAGTAATTAGTTGGAAACTTGATTGGCTTATAATTACAAATAACTTGTTTTATTGATGATTAAGCGGAAGTTCACAATGAAATAGAATTTGTAAGATTTTATAATGTGTACGTATATATATATATATATATGTATAAACAATCGCGGTCTGAGCAAAATTCCGTGTTCGTTATGTCCGACTGTGATCGAAAAGATTGGGCCACTGAAAGCGGATTCACAATTAAGGAGGAATGCCAAGGGGGATAGAAAAAAAGGCAGCAAAAGGAAAGGAAAAGAAAAGAGAGAGAAAAAACAAGGAAAAAAAATAAAAAGAAAGGGATCAATCAGGCGAAAGAAAGCATAAATAACTTACTGTTGGTTCTATGATATTTATCGAAAATGAAAAGAGTAACTGCTGCGGGTCTGTGAGGGTGGATGACCCAAGTTTTGCACCAAGAATAGAAAGCTGGTTTCCGCTGAATTGTTCACGATGGTCCAAAAATGCACGAGATCGTTGCACAGAATAATTAAAGACTGGAGAAACACTGATCTGTCTTAGCCACTAGTAAGCTAGATTGTTAGAAGACCCTGAAGGGGTGCTGAAGAGAAGCTTCTGTCCTGGCTGCGGGTCAGTCGAGAAGTGTCTTGGCCTTTCGGCTTTTCTCAAAACGTCAGCTCGGTTGAGAGAGTGGAGTTTTGGGGAATTGTTGGGAAATCTAATTTTCATGCCCAAATATGGTCATTGGACTGTGCTTCGAATGTTTTTTAGAGGTGGGGGTTAAGAGTACGTTGCAGTGTCTTTAAGATAATTTTGTAGGAGATAGGATGCATATGGCAATATATTTCGAGAGTCTTTTTGTTAAAAGAAATGTGTCTTTTTGTTAAAAAAGCAATCTTAAGAAGAAAATATCGATATTTCGAAGGAAGGATGTCGCGACATTGTTATCGTTGACTAAGCGCGTGGGAAACAAGATCGGAATTGGTTCAAGGATTGTTAATATTTCCGGAGCACCGAAACTTCCAGAGATCGCGTCGTGTGATAACATGCCTGAGCGCATCCGGCCATATAATCAGTAATAATAAATTCAATTTTCCTTATTTATAAAAGAAGTCTAGAGTGCGCGGAGTCCGCAGGACACTATTATAGACATACCCAACTATCCCTTCACCACATGATCATTTAACCCGGACACCTGACTACCTATCCCTCACAGAATATTTTTAATATTTCGTTATTATTGGTGTCTCATAGATCGTTTTTCACAAAAATTCTTCCGTATCTTAAACTTTATCCTTTACTGAGTGTGTTAATATGTCGTTGATTATTTATTGCAATAATACAGATGTGTTATTTCCAATTCCAAAAAACTATGCCCACCTATCCCGAACTTACTCTAACATCGAGGTCGATGTAAATGCGAAGAATTTGGAAATTGAGACATGGCAATGCTCGATCAAAATATTCACGTACGCGCGCGCGCGCAAACATGATTTCAATTATCCGAAAGTTTTGTTTCTTCGGCCGGTATAACGAGCAAAAAGCTTCCATTTTGCTGCGCGCCGTGTAAGCTAATGGAAATGTTCGTTTTCGAACTTGTGCACCTTTTTCCCGGAAAGGATCACGCTCCGAAAAAGCGCGTATAAAACTGAAAACTGAATGCCACGCCGGGATCAAGCAGCCCGCGAGCGAAATAAAAAATTGCCAGGCCCGTCGAATCGCGATTTTTCACCGAGAGGTTTATCATCCCGACATTACGCGGATTCAATTTCGTCCGGTCGCGTCTCTGCGCGCGGAAACGTAATCGCAAACGCAACATTCGTTTGGAGAGGAAGCATGTTACGACAATGCATCGATTTAGCTCGTTTGAATATCTCTTGAAACGTGAAACAGTCGCCCATACTTAGAATTGCTAAACATATCCAACTGACAGCGAAAATGTTGGAAATATTTTTCACCCATCGATGCGTTCTCCGAGAAAAAATATTTTTACAGGCTGTGCCTCCAGTTTTCTCTTTTTCCTCTTTTTTTTCTTTTTTTATGGAAATCTGCTGGGACTTAGACACATTTTTTCCGGCGGAAACAGGAGCGCGCTCACGAAGCTGTTAAAATCGCGAGCTACTGCCGGCGAGTTTACGGAACGGACGGTTATGACAGTAGCTCAAGTGACAATACACTTGCTTGCAAAACGCTTTCGACACAATGCGGTAAGGTAAGCTCATCAAACTATCACGATTGAGAGCTATTACCGTCGGGCTTACGCAGTAATCGGTTATGATAGCAGCCGAAGTGGCAACGTTCAAGACAGCTGACGTCACACGGCTGCAACGAGGAAATCAGCAGAAACGTAAACATTTTTATTGTGCCCTTATCTATCGGATAAGAGTGCAATAAAGAGGCAATATTTGCACCGGGTACTGCCACTTTGGCACCTGTCACAGCCGATTATCGCGCGAGCCCGTCAGCAATGGTTCTCAATCGCGACAATTTGACGCGCTCGTTATTTCATCGCGTCTAAACCGCTTCGCAAGCAAGTGCAGCACACGCGGTGTGAATGTTGGCCCTTTGTTATATTCGACAGCCCGACAGATCACGCGTGTAATGATAAAAGTTGCTCTTATCGGACAGATAACACAGACAGAGATTGCCGCATATCAAAACAATAACATTTCTGTATCTGGTGTCAAACATAATACAAACGATGAAATACAATTTTTAATAGCAACAGTTAATGTTAATGATCGCGGTCGTGATACGAGTATCTCGCATTCGGGCAGCAAAGGGTTAAAGACGGAAACATAGCGAATCCATGCTGCACTTACCTTCAAAGCGACCCCCGAAGCTGCCGCGAATCCGCCGGAACTGCATCCGCCGTGCTGTGGCCGCAAGCGCTGCCGGATCGGGAACAAGAAATAATTTTGCTAATTACTAAATTTGATCGGCCGGTTAGTCCGCCTGCTCGAATGAGCTCTTCGCGGCGGTCGCCGAGTTATTTTCGACGCTTCTTTCCGGGCGATCGATGAAAATCCATCATGCGCGTTTACATTCCAGCGCCTAATGTGTCGCAATTTACAGTAATCGCATTGGGTATGCGAGAAATAAAATAAAATCTCGCTTGCGAGATCAGCCGGGGCGCCTCGATTTACGCGCGACTGGACGTTCTGATTCTGTAATGAAAATGTATGAGCCCCGAATGGTTCGTATGCGTCTTTCACGGACGAGAGCGAGAGTCCGAATCGAACTGGGGAGCGTCGGAGTGTAAACAAGGCGGCAATACGAAAAGAAAGAACGTGAAGAACGAAAGAGCGTGAGAGACAATGAGAGATGACGGGTCGCGAAGGATGCGAATCACAGACGACCAGACGACACCCGAAGAACAAGTGTCTACGGACACACCTGTCCGACGATGCAGCGGCAAAACGACCGGCTGCTGCGAGGCGCAACATCCAGGCTTGATACGAGAAAGGGTAAAGGGTTGCGAGGAACAAAGGTGGTTCCGGCTGTGTTTTCCTTTGATTTCGGACACGAACGGGAACCGAGCGCACCGGTGGTCACCGTCTAAGACGCTCTCACAAAGTTTCTCGCCGGCTCAGATGACGAGGTATTACGTGTCCCGCGCGAGCGGCGCCGTCGTCGGGCGCAAATTCAGCGTGAGGCAGATACAAGTGCCAACGCGATAGCGATTATTCATCGACGATGAAGAAGAAGCGGTGATCAGAAGCGGTAGTCCGGCCCCTGGCCGATTCGCCGCCGCTTTTCTTCGTCGCCATCGCCGCCTTCGGTATCGGTATTATCGAAGGCGGGTACCCGGAGAGAAGAACTCCCCCTTACCTTACCTTACCACTTGCCGTCGACCGGCTGTGGACGTGTCGCCGGACCGGCGACCGGCGGCGGCGACGACGACGCAGGAAGAGAAGTCGGTGGACCCGGGGAGAGATGGAAGATGAGCGCAAAGGTCGCGGAAAATGCATCGTCATGTACCTCTATTAGAGACTCCGTGGAAAGGGAGACTTTTTGCTCGCGTTCCTCTTGCATAGCTACCATTCGACACTCTCTATCTACCTATCGATCCTCCCCACCCCCCCCTCTCTCTCTCTCTCTCTCTCTCTTTCGCTACCTCTATTCGCCTTCGCGTCCTCTTCCTCTCCGCTTATGACCCGTTATATAATATTTTCGCGCAACTCGACCATCCCCATGGACGCAGCGCTACTAAGACACCCGGCGGGGAAAAAATTCGAAAAATTCCCGCAGAAAGTCGTTAGAAGGAAACGAAAGAAGGAGGGAAGAGGTGAAGAGGAGGAGATTAGTATCCAAGCGGAATATTGCATGAACGTGATAAGGAACGTGATAAGGAACGTTCAGGTATGGTGCCGTGGGAAAACGGTCAAGGAGAACGGGAAAGAGTCTGCGCGAGAGAAAGTACTGAATGAAAGCGAGGAAGGATGAAGAGATCATTCCTCCAACGAGACGTTCGAGTGGCATTTTCGGGCCGAGAAACAATGTCTCTGCGTGTTAAAGGGAAATAAGTAAGACGAATGTCGATAAGTGACGGCGACGACGGCCCCGATCGATTCCTCATACTCCGACCTTGGATCCGACCCGTCCAAGTGTATGCTCCGTCGGAAAACCTGCTATCGCGTGCATCAGCGGACTGTCTCCTCCGAGGGGGGTAACGCACGGACGGGAGATTAGTGTCCGGCCCAGGACGATACGCGTGCGCGCCTGCTTGCCTGCCTGCCTGCCTGCCTGCCTGCCTGCCTGCCTGGGAAGGCGCGTATAATTATGTGCGAGAGGAGATAGAGTAACGCGTCGGGCATTCCAGCAGCCACCGGAGTCAGAATCCACCCTCGCCGGCTGGCCCGTTGAACTGAATAGCCGGCTAATGAACGCGAAGCCTCCGGTCTGTCAGTCCGGCACATCCACCGCGGCGAACGATCGTCGGGCCGAGAATGAAACCGACGCTGCGCCGCGAGCGTCGCGTCCGGCGTTCGGACAAAAAGTTTCGCGACCCGGCTCGTCTTCTTCTCTCACTCTCTCTCTCTCACTCTCTCTCTCTCTCTCTCTCTCTCTCTCTCTGCCTCTCTCTCTCTCGTGCGAGCGCACGCTGGAAGAAATGATAATAAAGCACGCCGTCATTGTGCGCCGCTTAACCCGGGTGCGGTCCCGCGAGATCGATGTTTTCACACCGCCGTTCATTCATCTTGTAATTCCGTGGAGTTATAGGGTTACGAACTCGGGGATGGGGCGGAGGTGGGCAGGGTGGAAGCGGAGATCTACATCGAAGATCGAGCGAGTGAGACTTGCCGTTGGGGGCCGATCGGGAGAAATGATCGTGAACACGTTGGTCAGCAGTTGAGCCGAAAGTTTTGATCCTGCTTGCAGCCACGTTATTCTCATTTTGAGATAATTTCATAATTTCGTAATTTCATATTCTGAGAGGCCTATATCGGGCTGTTTTGAGTCCGCTTAAGCTACAACTACTTTCCTCAGAGAGCTTTCCTTGAGAACTCACAAGTGGCAAACACTGTGCGTTTGCGCCATTTGGAGGCGCCTGGTAGGACTGTGAGTTTCTGTATAAATTAAATCTTCAGTTTTCGTCCGGATTTTGCAGGTGTTAGACGGTTTAGGTCGAAATTTCGACACGGACAGCGTCGCATACGCGGGGTCCTGCGAAATTTTTTTTCTGTCCACGACACCGACGTCACGTGTGAACGAAGTATGTATTAATTTAAGCGAGCGATGTGTACCCCGATTTGCGGTAAGAGGAAAGTTACGATGCTTCGGGGATATTCATTTTATTGCAAGAGTACATCTTACGACACATTGACGAGCTACGATAAATCGACGCGCCAAATTCTTTGAAAGGTGCTACGTCAGTTGCTGACGTCCCAGCGCGAGACGATATAAAAGCCAAATATAACCGTGGGAGCCGCGGCGGAAGAACTAGAATTACCGTATAACTTACGCCTTACCGCTAATTAGACCTTCCCCTCGTAGAATCCTTTAGATTAATTCAGATTAATATCTATAATAATTTGCGTCGGTAGTCTACATTGTCAAACCAAGTCGGTTTTACACATCTATATGAAAAAAGGAGATGGTCTGTGCAGAGAAGATTCTTAAAATAAACCCTAACGGTGAACACATTAATCATTGATTACTGATCCGGAAAAATTAAATTCGAGAACTATCTCGAGAGAGCGCACGATATTTCTCATATCGCCGGGAAACATCGAATTTCCGCATCGACGTTACGTGCGCGAACGCTTTCGCGAAATTCGGCGAGAGCGGCGCGATAATTTTCGGGTTAAGAACGACGCGACGCGCGCTCTCGCCGAGAAAGGGGGAGAGAGAGAGAGAGAGAGAGAGAGAGAGAAAGAGACTCCCGTCGGAAAGCCATTTCGCCGAACAGAACGAGCCGCGTGTATCGGTAGGTACAATTTCAATTTTGCTATCTCCCCCTGGTAGTTCCTCCCAAGCTGCGAAAGGAGAATGGGGATGATAGTCGACGCGCGGATAGAGGCGGGGTGAGAGAAAGACGACAGGAAAAGCAGAGAGAGAGAGAGAGAGAGAGAGAGAGAGAGAGAGAGAGAGAGGGGGGGGGAGAGAGAGCAAGATTCGACGTTAGATAGGCGAGAGAGTTAGGCCGGGCACCGCGCAGCCGAGCGTTCCGTCTCGTTCTCGGCTGTCACTCAAATCCTCCCTCCCGCGTCGTCTCACTCCTTCTCTCCTACCCTCTTGGTTCGGCTCCTTCCATCCCGTCGGCGACGCCACCCCCTTTCGGTCACCCTCTCTCGCACGTTTCTAAGCAAGAGCCACCCCCGCGGACTCGGTAATTGAATTTCACGAGTTGGTTACCCAAACCCCCGGGATCCCGAGCCACCCTCCCGCCCGCCCACACCATCGCCGCCGCCGCCGCTTCGCCACCCTTCTCAGGAAAACAGGGTGCACGACACCGTTGGATAACGTCGCCGCAGCCGCCGTCGACGTCGTCATCGACGACGTCTTCGCTCCCGCAGTGCGACGGGGGTCCGTCAGCTCACTCGATGCCCGCTTAACGTCGCGTCGCGCGCGCGGCGAACATCGATTATCGCGTCGGCTGCGACGATTGCCTCACGCGCTTTTGGCATCACACGTTTGCTCTCTCGCTCTCTCCTGCGCTCTACTCGACGTCGAATCGCAGGATTCGCCGCTCTCGTCCAGCGTCGCCGATGAATTTTCGTCGCGAGCCGAGGAACGCCGCGCCGCGGCGATCAACCTTCGCGTCCTTCGGAATTCGTTCTTCTTCGCGAAGGAGAAATATCGACCGAGTGAACGGCGATCGAGTGAACGAGCCGAGCGCGTTTTGGCCGAGGGGAATGGAGTTCCTGGTTCTTACGAAGCACTCGCTGCTGCAAGCCGGAGACTCCGTTTCCTTCTTTTATATCTTCGCGTTGCATAAAAATACTACATATACTCGTTAACAAACTCATTTTACGTGTCTGAGTAACACCGTATACTGTCGGATGCGTACATCATCGAAAATTGGTTCAAAATTTTTTAGATCACTCTTACGTACAAGTTGCAATCGTTGTCTCTATTTTATTTATCCCTTAATATGTTTCCCATAGGCATAATTTTTTTGAATTTAATTCAAATTTTTTATTTTGAATTGATTATCAATTTGACTGATTATTAATATTGACGATTGACTTTAATTTTGATCAATTTTTATTTTGAATTGATTATTAATTTGAAGTCTCATAGAGAGAGACCGCGAGCTGTCGTGCTTCGAAACCGGGAGGTGTAGTCAACTTTCTTTCCACTGCCATTTCGCAAGTCGGGATGGAACGGGATTCGATGACCGAGCGAACGAGCACATTATTCCTGCGAACTTTCGCGCGACGCGCGT